AATGATACCGAATGGTTAAGTCTGAAGGTTCATGGGCAATCGTTTATGTTACATCAAATACGAAAGATGGTTGGTGAGCAATAATTATACAAGTTTTTTATTTACAAGATTTGTAATTAAATCATCAATTAGTGTTGATTTTAATTTTTTTTTAAAAAATAGCTTTAATAGTTATGGTTGCAAGAACCATGACACCACTTTCTTTGATTCCGAAAACGTTTGGTGCAACTAAAATCAATATTCCTAAAGCGCCTGCATTAGGTTTATTGTTGGAAAATGTAAATAATTGATTTATTGGTGGTTTGTTGCTGGTTGGTTGTAATTAATTTTTTTTTGTTTGTATTTATAGCCCGTATTCAGTTCATATAATAAGAGAGCAAAAGATAATGGTAGAGACTTGATAGAATTCCAAGCTTATAAAGTAAATATAGAAGAATAATATCGATATATTGATTGATTGGTTAATTTTATTTATTAATTATTTTATTGGTTAATGTTAATTGTCATTTCCTAGGATAAAATTGAGGAGTTCAAGAATAAATTTATATATTCTAAAATCTACGAAGAAGAATTTTCCGCATACTCCTACGTAAATTATTTAATTTCCATAAAATATTTTCATTATTTAATAACTTTTACGTCTTCTGTTAAACATAAACATAGATTTCAAAATTGGATTAATTCAATTGACGCACACGCAGAACGTGACTTTGGATATTTAAATCCTGAAGGAATCATACCAGAAAGCGCAATAGTAAAACCAATCGATAGACAAAAGAATTCCTCTAAAAATAAATATGATGATGATGATGATGATGATGACGACGATGACGATATCGAAGAAGAAGACGATTGAACTTTATTTTGTCATTGAAGCCTTTGCCTCGAATAAAATTGAGAAATTGAAATATTTATTCAGGCGATAAATATTCTAATGCCAATCCATACCTTTTTTAACATAATTCTTTGCGATTGAATTCAATATAAGGCGATCCATAAAGAAATTTTTTTTTTGATATTTTCTATTTTTATTCAAAAAGTTTATTTGTTGTCACCATTTCATTGTTCACGCAAATCTACATGTATAATATTATGTATAAAAATATTTATAGACATATTAAATTCTACCACCCATCAATTATATCGAGTTTCTCCGCATATGATTATTATTATATGATTTTGTTAAAAATAAAAAAAAACCTGTTTGTTTGATTGATTAATATGTTAACTGACTAACTTTTTTTCATTTTCAAGTTTTTTTTTCCGAAAATAACTATTAAATAATAAATAAATGAATTCATTTTGTTCTCATTATTTTTTCTCCGTTCTGAAAATTTCATAATATAATGTCATTCGATAATACTAATAATATCACCACCACCACCATACAACAACAAAATAATCAAGAAGACAGCGACGACGACGACAACAACAAAAATATGGATTACAACAACAATCATAAAATTTATAACAAAAACGGTAATAATAATAGTATTAGTGGCAGTACATTTAATTTTGATGATTATGAATATGAAGAGCAGCGACTAAAAGAGGGAAAGGTGAAGCTGATTGTGTTATCGATAATCGGCTTATTAACTATAACTTATGGTGCTTGGAACGTTTGGCGTATGGTGGAAGCAGTAAAATCTCCAGTGGCAGCTTTAAAAACCTCCACAAGAACTACTATACCTGTAAGAAATTACAATTTTCTAAATAAAAAAAAAGATAGAAATATTTTTCTATTATTACACAAGCATCCTTTACTCTTGGTCAACTAACGAATTATTATTATTATATTGTTTGTTATAATATTAGGTGCCAGGCGTTGTAATGTGTGGAAAAACTTTGGATAGACCCGTTAAATGTTATAAAAGTGCCTTTAATTTTGCTGATGATGATCATGAAAAAGTTGGTTAATGATCTGCGCGTGATTTTCATTTTAATATTATTACTATTATTACTATTACATTTTTAATAAAAGGATTATGTACCAAAAATATGTATATAGGGAGAAAGTTGTGATGATTATTTAACGAATCATAGAATGGACGCATCACATTTTAAAAATATGAATGGATTCGATAACCTTGATACATTATTTTGCTGTAAGAATCACTAGAATCATAATATGATTAAGTTTAATCAAGAAAAATTTTTAAAAAAGTTTTTTTTTTCAATTTCTCAATTCAGATATTTTCAATCCTTCACAAAAGGTTAATGGATCGTACGGCGAAGATCCTTTATTGTTTAATGAGAAAACTCAAAAAGTTAATTTTGCATTATGGTCAAGTGAAAATGCAAATAATACGGTAATTCATCATTGTCATGATAATATTTTTGAATTATTCTTTTTTAATATTTAGAACTTTTTTTTTTTTTATTAGTTAGGAGCAATAACAGCCGATAGATGGTTTTTCTATGGAATATTTAATGAACAAGAAGATCCAACCAAAGTTCGATTTCAAATTGTGAAAATGGTAAAATATATAAAAACAATAATGAAAAAACTTGCATTCTATTCATTTCTTTAACACCATTTCTTTTCTTTTTTTTTAGCCATCAATCTCATATTTATATTATACAAGAACAGAAATATACAATGGATTGAGATCAGATGCAATAATTGGTGGTGTTACTACAAGTAATGGTGGTACTGCAATTTCTAATACCGGCAAATCAAGCACTTCAAATTCGTCAAAAAAATTAGTGGCAATTAATTTAGAAACTAAATTCACATCATTTGATATATCCGGATTCGGTATTAGTCCAAATCTATGGGAATTATTTAGAGTAATACCTGAGTATTCGGAAAATAATGATGGTTATCAAGTGAATTTTTTGTGCAATCGAATTGAATTCACCTTGTTACAATTAGCCGCTAATATGGGTGGGTTTGTTAGTATTTTGAGTGCCATCTATTTTATATTATTTGGATCTAGAAGAGTCAATCCTTGGGGAATTATGCAACGCTATGTAAGTAAAGATGTGTGTGTGTGCGCGCGCGCGCGTGTGTGAAGAGACTAAGGATTGATTTTTAGTAATAGGATAAATTTCAATGCTAATTATTCGTTTTTTTTTTTTTTTTTTTTTTTTTTTTTTTAGGTACTTAAAACTGTACCAAGTTCATTGCCAGTTTATTCACAACTATACTCACAACCTGGTCAAAACATCTCATTACAAAGTCAACAAAATTTACAAGATGATGATGACAATGATCACGATCAAAAACAAGGAGTCCAAGAAGACC